AGCAGACTTTGCACATTTTGAAAGCCTTAAGGATCCAAGATTATTATTTTTGTGTTTTATTTCCTTTGATTTCTGGCGTTTACACATTTCTTTCCGGGTCTCGCCCAGGGACCTAAGGTTAAAAATGGCATCATGACACTTTACACTGACAAAAAAAAATTACATAGATAAGGCCCTTCGTAAAGTATGGGCTGTACTTGTGAGAACAATTTTTTGTATTTCTTTGAGGCATGGACTTCTAGGAACCCCTTCAATTAGTCTACTGGAATCTTTTCCAACCAATCCTAGGGCTCCAACTACAACAGGGATTGTTGAGGTTCTCATGTGCCACATTTTTGACATTTTTATTTCAAGGCCCTTGTATTTTGACAACTTTTTGAATATCTTCAAAGATACATTGCAGTCTGCATCTACTGCCATATCAATAAGGAGGCACATTTTTGTTTGTGGTTTTTAATAACAATGCCTGGGAAGTTGGCTTTGATTGTTCTGTCAGCGTGTATTGTGTAGTCCCATAGAATTGTAACAGGTCCTATCTCCATAACCGGGTCTGGGTGGTGTTCGTACCATTTTCTATCAGTTTCTTTCCCGTAGGAGTTGCAAATTTCCCAGTGCAAATATTGGCCCACTCTGTCATACCAGGTTTTATACTCGGTGGGTGCCAATATTGTGCAACCTGATACAAGATGATCAATTGTTTCTGGATATTTATCACAGAATATGCATTTTGGGCTAACACAATTATTATTATCATCATTATTATTATTATTATTAACATGACAAAAGACACTTATCAACAGGATACACTTTTCAATATTATCTGCTTTGTCGGAGTTCACTCTTGTATCATAGGGGACATATTATTATTACTATTATCGTTATTATTATTATTATTAGTAGTAGTAGTAGTAAAGTAGTAGTAGTAGTAAAGTAGTAGTAGTAGTATTTCCTTTGATTTCTGTGGTAGCCCCAGCGACTTAAGGTCATAAATAGCTTCATGGCATTTTCCACTGATCATTTTTGTAAAAAAAATTAAGATCACAGGCCTTTTGCATAGATAAAGCTATTATTATCATTAGTCGTTCTAGTTATAGTAGTAGCAGTATTATCGTTGTCGTTATTGTTTTAATACTAATTAAGAATAGATCGGTACAACACAAAGTTAAACAAAGAGAAATAAAAATTGTGTTAGGTTATTATTCCACGAGATAGAGTTTACCTGCCTGTCTGAAAAATCAATATTCGATTACCTGGGCTGCAACATCAATCACTAATCGGAAATATGTAGATATTTTGTTCGCCCCACAGCTTTCAAATGAAAATTAACAAAGTATATAAGTATTGAACTCACTACAACAATAATGGGCTACGAGACTAGCGCATTAGCTACTGCTCCATGGCAAGGCGAACAACCATTTATATTATTAATTCAATGTTAATCAACACCACGATGACTAATCCAACTAATACGACTACTACTATGATAATGCAACAGTTACTGGTACTAATGTTTACAATATTGATGGATATGGCTTGAAATATTCAAGTATTTATTAGTGAAACCCTTTATGGCAATATTAAAAATAGTCTAAACGCTATGAATATAAATCATGTAGTCGCCATCATTATATAAATTATTATTATTATTAATAAAAGCGAGAAATACACAAATTAATTAGTTTAGAAGAGGCTTGTAGATGAATTACCTGGCCACGAGAAACGATTGATTTTCACGTGAATGACCCCGGATTATAAAGTAGCGGCGAGAAAAGGACAGGAAATAAAAATGCGCAAAAGTGTAGTATGAAAATAACCTGTAGAAATATTCATAGTTTCTATACAGAAATGAAAAAAGGAGAGAAAAAATGGTTAATAGCTTGAAAAAAAAATGTGGTGTGATAGCATCAGGCAAAGATGGCGGAAATGTAAACGCGTGAATGTACACAAAAAGTGTTGGTTATTACATCCGAATAAAGAGGAATGCATAAAATAAAAATGGACAGTTGTAGTGGTGGCAATGGTGGCGATAATAAGAGCAACGTATCTTCAATAACTGATGTAAATAGAAGAGGATGAAAAAAATAAAAGGCAAATGATTGGAAAGTGAAAAGCTGTTATGAAAATAAAAGAAAAAAAGAGTAAAAAAAAAAAGATCCTGCACAGAAAATATGAATGGTGGCAATTTATGTATTTTTGTATTTGGTGTGTGATGGTGGGGACAAGACTTAAGGATATTATTTATTAGTAAATGAATTCTTACAATCATTCACAAGCGCAGCAGTTCCTTTGATTTACATAGCTGTGATTAATTGGGGAGATTAAATGAAAGAATATATATACATCTTTACAGATTTATATATATATATATATATATATATATATATCAACTCCTTATGGGTCATTAAATGCCGAAATTTTATTTTGTGAGCTTCAGTAATTTTTCCCCCTAAAAATGGATTGCTAGTAATTTTTCTAATGTTTTCTTTTATATTTTCATGTTCTGGCCTCAGTTTACGTTGGGAACCTAACAGTTGCTACCACCCCGGGTCACGGTGAACCTTGGAACACCAGCAATTAAGAGCTGGTTGCACGACCGATCAGAGGCCTTGCTGCTGGATATAGTTTATTGTCATACCCAGGACGAAATAATGATAATATATATATATATATATATATATATATATATATATATATATATATATATATATATATATAAAATTATATATGTTGTTATTATTATTATTATTATTATTATTATTATTATTATAAAGAGTAACACGAAAATTTTATGCTCAATACTATGATTGTATTTTATCAGCAGATGGTTGGTACCTGGTGATAAAAATGATGTTTTAGGGAAATTTAAAAACAAAATCGTTACCTCTTTTCGGAAAGAGGGGCATAAGGTCAGAATTAAAAATAGATTTGTGGGTGTGTCTTGATTAACCAATTAAATGTCAGATCTACGTTAAATAGAAAAGTAACGTTAGAGGATGGAGATGGGTGAGTTATTTTTACATATCACTATAAACCGGCACTTTGACATGGCTTCCTTACCGATCGTGGAGAATGGAGATATATATATATATATATATATATATATATATATATATAGAGAGAGAGAGAGAGAGAGAGAGAGAGAGAGAAACGATATAAAAATCATCTACATCAAAAACTTACAATTTTTAACTGAAATTTGTTTTAGCAATTTTCCATTTCCGTTTCTATTTTGTATATTCAAATTCAGAAAAATATCAGGTCATCCCATAGGTTCTGTCGAATTTTGAATAAAAGAAAACAATCAAATATTTTCAACAATGTATTTTCCCTGATTATCTAATTTCCCTATTAACAACTAATAAAACTATAAAATTCTTTTGGCTTTGATTCGAAGAACTCACAAATGTTAGTTTTAACCTCTTCCTGTCTTACAAAAGCTGTTTCTTCCAAATGATTCTGTAAGCTACGAAACAAATGGTAGTCTGAAGAAGCAAGATCGGGAGAATAAGGTGGATGAGGAATTTTCTCCCAAAGTTCTTCGATCTTTTGTGACATGATTCTTGTTGTGTGGGGTCGCACATTGTCCTGATGAAACATCACTTCTTTTCGATTCACTAGAGCAGGTCTTTTTTCCTCAAAGCTTGGTTCAAACGCTCTAATTGCTGACAGTATATTTGAGCATTAATTGTTGCATTAGGTGGTAAGAATTCAAAGTGGATTATTCCTTGGCGATCCCACCAGATTGAAAGAAGAGCCTTTTGCCCATGAAGTTCCCTTCTCGGCTGTGGATGGGGTTCTTCCCCTTTACCAAGCCACTGTCTACGACGCTTAACATTTCGATAAAAGATCCATTTTTCGTCGCCAGTCACAAGTCTATCCAAATAAGGTGAAACAAGTTGGCGAGAATGGAGAGAAAAGCAGATGTCAACTCTGGATTTGAGGTTGTTTTCAGACAATTCATGAGGCACCCATTTTCCAAGTTTAGGAACTTTTCCAAGTTGTTGAAGACGACGATGAACAGTTGTATGGTTTGAACTGAGAACCACTGTCAATTCCTCAACTGATAAAGCAGGATTTTCTTCAAAGTCTGCTTCAAGAAGCTTTTCATCAAACTCAACTGGACGTCCGGTTCGATCTTCATCTTCAAGGGTGAAATCTCCACATCTGAATTTTGCAAACCACCTTCTGCAAGTTCTTTCATTCACACATTCCTCTCCATAAACTGAGTGAATGTTTCTAGCCGCTTCGGCTGCTGAGTTTCCTTTCTTGAACTCATAAAGCATTATGTGCCTCAAATGATTCTTGGGTACTTCCATGTTAGCAGGGTTTTAATCAAACAAAATTTAATTTTATTGTTCTTTGAAATAAAATTTGATCAGTTTAAATGCATCTAAACATAAAAATAATGTTCAGCTCCATTAGACATTATAAAATACTCTTTAAATTTCGTTCATTTTTTAAAAAAAAGGTAAAATTCGGACAGAACTTATGGGATGACCTGATAGATTTTCTTTTATCAGTAATTAAAGTAAGCGTTAATACCGGAAAGACCATATTGGGGCAGGACTCGTTTAATTATTTTTAAAACTGCTTTAATAAAAACAAATTAACAGGTTGTTCTCAATACAGCAAACCCGAATTTACACACACCCCTGGACATATGCAATGCTAAACCTAAGTAAACAGTTAAGAAAAACAAATTTCTCGCTAAGACAAATTTTGCCGTGAGCCAATTTGTTGATACCTCGAATCCACGTGAATAATATAAATGAGAAACAAAAGCCAGTAGCCACAACTATGACTCATCAGACCAGATAAAGAGAAAGGGCAGATGAAACGACTCTCTGCAAACAACCATCACTTTGACCTATGTCTCTGTAGATTAAATTAAGACTCAAATGATTCTTCGAACCAACTATTTTTTATATTAAAAAATAGAACGACCGAGTGATTTCTCACGTATATATCTTTGAGTATCTCTCAACTTCTATTGTGCTCAAGGCCATATCGCGTTGAAACTCCAATTCCCGTAAGATCAACGAAGTTAAACAACGTCGAGCCTTGTTAATACCTAGATGGGTGACAGCTTGGTAATACCAAGTGCTATAAGCTTTGACCGGCAGGGGGTATAATGGCTCGAAATCTTTAATCGGAGAGCCGTTCCAATCGATTTCGTTATATTCACTTACGCGCAAATCCCTTAGAGATTTGTATGAATCCACCTCTTCTTCCCCAACTATGGGTTAAATAGTAAGTTATATAACTCAAACTATTATTATCGCAAAAAAGAATTGCGTACAAAATATTTAGATTTCGACTTTAAATAACTCATACTGTTTGATATGCTACTTAACAAAAACAACTAACCAACCATAATTTATTTTGCGAACACCTTGACAATCTACTAATACATACGTACATGTGTGTCTGTCTGTAAGTGTGTATATTTAAGTGTTTTTTTCCATTGCCATTCAAAGCCTTATAAAGAAAGTTTTTTTTTTTATTATTATCTCAAATTGCAGACACCAACAGACCTGAAAGTTTTTAATGTTTCCTAGATCCTTTTTAAGGAGATCGATCTCTCTTAATCTGAAAAAGCCGTCCATTTTGTGTTGCTTTAATTATTTTCAGTTTGTTTGCATCTGGCATGGGGCTTTCACACTTTAGTCTCACGGCGACGTTTTCGTCTGTGCTGTTATCATTATCCCCACAGAAAATGTATGAAAAGATTAGCCTCCCTTGTGGTCAACTCGTCAGGAAAATAAATGGCCTTTTCATACAACATTTTCAAAGATCTTTATCAAAATATAACACTGTTGTCTGATCACCGAAAGCAGATGAAAACATGAAACACTGAGGTTGCTTTTGTTCTCTATCACCGAATTTTCGCCTCTCGTAACCCCGTTTCAGCCCCCACCCCGACCCCGAAAGGTGGTAAAGGTTCTTTGAAATAGGTGAGTTATAAAACGCTATAATACACTCTCGTCAGACCAGCGGAACATACGTGATCTTTTATTCTTTTCTTGACACATTTTGTTAATAATACAAAATTTCTTCCCTTTGAATCGTAAGGGAGCTATAGAAACTATTGACACAATAGCGTATAAATAATATTCCGATTTAAAGTCGTTTTATGCTGTTTCAATACAATGGCTTGCAACGACAAAGCATTGCACATTAAAAGCTTGTATCGTCATGTTTGTTCATTTTACCACAACTTTAAAGCTAGTCAACTCTCCAGTCGTTTTTGAGTGAATGTGTTTAGCTAATAAAAAGGAGGAAATGGCAGCCGCAGACTATTCAGTCTTTTCCTAGACTATACACTTCGCATTTACAAGCACAGATTTTAAGAGATGGAACTGATCATTTAAGCATTCTATACCACATCCCAAATGAATCTATTAATATCGATCCTGATTTCCATGCTGAGGCTAATTCTGATGGGGACTATGCTAATGACATAAGTATTCATAGTTGGGATAAGAATGATCTTGAACAGAAACTCAACATCCTCTATCTATTCCAAAACAGAAACTATGATCTGGAATTGGAATGAAAGCAGTGATGGCACATACACTGAATCCTTAAAAATTCATGATATCGACTTAGTAAATACCGAACACTCCCAAATACTTCAGTGTATGGATCAGTTATGATAAATTTAGTCTAGGAGGAAAGAAAATTGAATAGAGAATAGGCTGCACTAGAAATAGTTTTGCCCAACACCGCAAGTTGCTACTAAACCAAAACATTAACCTGAAAAATCGAGTCATGTACTTAGATCATATCGAAATGTCATATCGAAACTTTCATATGGATAGCATGCATAGCGCCAAACCCGTACATAAATATCTAAACTGTCTGCTGTTTACAGCCGCTCAATATAAGATGGTTGAGAACGGATTTGAGTGAGTGAAACTTGTGGGGCTTGATGAAGACCACACGTTTTCGAACTTTGTGGGCTGGCGCTACAGAATCACTAACTTTCAACAGAAACAGTAGCAGCTAAAATGGATATTACATATAACACGAAGAGAAAATCATGATATAATCATAATGTTGACCTTCCACACTATTTCAAATAATAGGTTAGGGAGTAACTACAGGAAAGAGCGATAACATCTACTGGACTTGAAAAGGTTACTTTTCAGGATAAAGGTTTTAAGAGAAAGATTTTATCTATTCCAAACTATAGCAGCAATTTCTTGTAAAGAAACGGCTACTATTACCAAAGGCGACCATAAAACTCGATATCAAGTTATTTCCTATTTATAGAATATATACTATAATTATTTACAAATGTAAAGAGACACTACTCAGTAATTAACTAAAATCCAATTGTATTTAAATTTAACTTTACTTGTACTTCTGCTAATCAGTAGCTACTTAACTTGAGAAATATATTTTCCTGAAAAATATTTTAAGACAAAGTTTTTATAAATTTTAACCGACAATAATACAATCTGCTCGGTCAATGAATACCAAATGTTTCCTTATAAGGAAACGGCTAATAATACTATTATCATTATTTAAAGCCTTAATAAGACTTTACAAGAGATGATACATTCACCTGAACAAGTACAAAATATTGACTATTCTAAACACGTGGGTCTCGTCATAGGCATGTCACAAAGTTTAATAGCAAAAAGAATAGGAAAGTAAGCATTGGATGGTAAGCACTCTCCTCTAACTGCCTAATATGGTTAATCAATACCAATACATATTTTTAACCTTACTATTAGTCTATTAATGCTCACCGTCCCCCAAAATAGGTTATCATTTGAAAACTATAATCAGTTCTTCTCTTATGTGCGATATCCTTTCAGAACGTGAGTGATCACTGCTCTCCACAACATCCTATACTTTGTAGCTGTAAGTAATATTTGTGTCCTTCCTATCCCATTCACTGCATGTTCTGTCATTTAGTTAGATAAGGTTACCCGTTGTTTCTCTTTATCTCTCTCACCTTCAATATGTCCTGTAAGTATCACATTCTCCAAACCCACCTTCCTTTGTAGGTTCTCTTAGGATTACCTCACCCAACAGTTTGAATAATTACGGTGACAAGACGCATCGTTATCTCATGTTTCTTTCTTTTTCTATATTTAATTCATTTTCTATCCGTATGCAGGATTGTTTGTTCCGAGTAAATGCTCTGTATTATTCTAATATATTTCCATAAAATGATATCAAAAAAAATGAAATCCAAACGGAAGTTTTCATTCTGGTGGCTTTTAACATAACGAAAATTAAAAAATGCCTGTCAGAGAAATCATTTCCAGCTCAGAATACGATATTCAAAATCGAGTCAATATTAAATCAAAACATAAAAATGAAAAGATTATGAAAGCATACACCTATATCTGAATCACTTTTATGATGGTCGACTTATAAAAGGATGCTAAACTGTAAAAGCCTACCGAGAGTGTTGCAGAAATATAAAAGTCGTCTGTTTTTTATTCTTTCTTTCTCCCACAAAAGAGAAACTGGACACTACGCAACATCAAAAGAAACTGATTTAAGTAATAATTTACAACAAGAAATAACTTTTTAAGCTGACTTTCCTTTCTAAAAAAGTAAATGATATATGTAAATGTTTTCAGTGGACAAAACCTCAATTAAAATTTGTTAACCGTCTCGATAAAAACTGGTGACACTCTACACAAGAACACAAACTATGGCAAACTTCAGAAAAATGAACGTGAATAGTGCATTTCAACAGGCTGTTTCATGCTAGACGCAATCGTCAGGCCGCCTGACAATTGCGTCTAGCATGAAACAGTCTGTCGCCTCTGAGTGTTGACTTCAATGTTCACTTATATATATAGTCTTAAGGTGTGCTATATTTATGGAATAAAGTGCTCAATATCAGAGATAGAGCGTGTGTAAATATAAATTTATTTATATATATATATATATATATATATATATATATAATGTTAATAACTATACCCGTTTGATGTAAAAAAAACGGAATACACAATTTGCAAATAAAAATATATTAAAACCAATTATGTGTCTGGGAAAAAAAGTTGTAAAATAAGAAAAGACCAAAAACATCCGAGTAGGCCTAAAAAATCATCCAGCGTCGTAATTTCTAGTCTAAAGAAAAAAACAATCGAGTAAATAAGAAAAAAAACGTAAAGTGCTGAATACACTAAGTAGAACCGGCTTACCCTGAAAATCCATTTAGGTGAAACTTAGGGATGGAGGTCTGGCTCACTAGGGTTTTATTTTATTTATATATATATATATATATATATATATATATATATATATATATATATATATATATGTGTGTGTGTGTGTGTGTGTGTGTGTGTGTGTATGTAGCAGGGCACTGACCCTGTTTAAACGTTTAATTGCATGTGATTACAGATTTGGAGGGACTGCTAATTGGATAATAATTATTAAAATTCTCACGGGAGTAGGTTGAATAGAAAATAAAAAAACAAAATGCGTTAAAATTTGTTTTAAAATAATGAAATGAATTTAAGAACAGTTCCAAGAAGAATTGAACCCAGCATTGAACCTAGACAAAATTCAGTAAAACTGAGCAAAACCAAGATTCCCGACCCTATCCACTTCCTCCTGATAAGAAGCCATGATTAATGAGATGTCTAAATTTCTTATTTCTTGATAAATTAAAATTCTGAAGTTTGTTTACATTACGCTTTCTTTCCAAAATGTTTGTGTTCTGACAAATTATTCGAGACAAAGAACTAAACATGTTTTGTGTTAATCTTCAAGATTGGGATTTGTTTATGTTGATCGCACAAGAACAGAATTATCTTTACAGAAATGTATCTAGGAAGAGTTTAAGCAAAAAAAGGATGTAGCATATGTTTTTTAACAAGGTCTCCTAAGATTAAGACCGTTGGGTGAAGGAATTAGATATATCTATGTCGAATTTTGGAAGGGCAGTCGTCTATACAAACGACAACCCCACCCCTCCAAACAGACGGAGACATTCGGAGACATCGGTTCGAAGCGGCGGGAGATTCCTTTTAAGACAGTCATCGCTAAACAGCACACCAGCAATTTCCAGGCCTTAGTGAAACACAGACACACATGACCGAAGAATTGAGGAAGAGTTGATTGACTGGAT